GGCTATAGCCTTACAGGTTTTTCACCTATCCACACCCATTTAGCAGCTGTGCTCATTGGACCATAAAACAGGTGCAAGGCTATAGCCTTGCACCTTTTTCAATCCAGGTTTTTATACAGCCTCAAATGAGGTGAAATTAGGGCAAAACAGCTGTAAGGGGATAGCCTTACAGCTTTTTGCCCCTTTTTATGTGGGGTATGACAACCTGTAGGGCTATAGCCTTGCACCCTGTTTTATGGTCCAATGAGCACAGCTGCTAAATGGGTGTGGATAGGTGAAAAACCTGTAAGGCTATAGCCTTACAGGTCAAAAACCTGTAAGGCTATAGCCTTACAGGTCAAAAACCTGTAAGGCCAAAAAGCTGTAAGGCTATACCCTTACAGCTGTTTTGCCCTAATTTCACCTCATTTGAGGCTGTATAAAAACTTGGATTGAAAAAGGTGCAAGGCTATAGCCTTGCGCCTTTTTCAATCCAGGTTTTTATACAGCCTCAAATGAGGTGAAATTAGGGCAAAACAGATGTAAGGGGATAGCCTTACAGATTTTTGCCCCTTTTTATGTGGGGTATGACAACCTGTAGGGCTATAGCCTTACACCCTTTTTGAACCCTTAGCACCAAGTTTTAAATGTTTCAGAGGTACGGATACCCTTACAGCCTTTTACCCTCATTTGACCTGACCCTTGCAGCTTTGGGTGATGCCCTTACATCCTTCTAGCCCTTTTCATAGGCCACATAAAAAGGGGCTAAAACCCTTACAGCTCTTTTGGCCTAATTTCAGCTCATTTGAGGCTGTATAAAAACCTGCCTAATTGCACCTGTTTTATGGTCCAATGAGCACAGCTGCTAAATGGCTGTGGATAGGTGAAAAACCTTACAGGTTTTTGATGAGCTCAAAACACGTTACAACGCTGTTAAGCCCTTTTACCCCACTTTCAACATAAATTACCCTTGTGCTATGAGGCCTATCAAAAAAGCTGTAAGGCCTTGCATGTTTTTCCTTTCAAATGAGCGGTGTAGGCCTTCAAAAGGCCCTACAACCTGTAAGGCCTTACAGGTTTTACAGCCCTTATAGCCCTAACCCTTTTGCACTCCTTTCAACCCTCCCCCTCCCAGCACTCACCGCAGTACGTGTAGATGGCGTTGTAGTCCAGGAATCGCACTCGGAGGTTGTGCAGGACGGCGGGCTCGTGGAGGAAGCTGAGAGACGTCAGGTCGTTCTCTCCCTCCAGGATGTCAGGGTTCCCCAAAGGTGGGAGGTCAGCCGGGGAAGCCACCGGGTAGTCCACCACCTGTTAGCGGAAACGTCGCACACAGTTCACTGAAAACACTCCAATCCAACGACCGGCATTTACTTCACCTGTACGCCTACATTACCTTTCCATCACAGAGCTTAAGCTGCAGGTGCTTCACTGCAGGACTGTAATCGTGGACGAGTTGGCCTGACGCCCACACCGACTCCGGGTCCGGAATCCAAACGCTCGAACCCTGAAAAACACACACCCACGCCAGTACAGAAAACAACAACACCCGTCTACAAGGTCACCGCCTCACATGACACGCACTGAGTCACGGGGATCTCTGCATCAGCAAAAAGGGACATCGCAGCACCTGACTTAGAGCCCAGCCAACGCATTTGTCAGCATAAACGGCTCCTAAACCGTGTTACACATTAACACCGCTCATCCTTCCCTGCTTATGTCAGGCAGTCCACGCACACACCTGATCAATACAGTCCTGCTACTTAAGCCCAAAAACACCTACACCTGCCCACTGAATAGTCACAGCCATTACTCTCAACCCCTGCATTTCACACACTTAACGTGTCACCAAACACTTAACATTTCACACATCTCATCGACTCCACACCTACATATAAATTACAACACTTTCATAAAGGAGCCACAAATACAACGCTCTGATAACTAACAATTACACCACACGTCACTACATCGCACAGACACGCTTCATTCCAATCTTACCTTCCTGTACAGACTTACTTGCAAACGCACCTTGGACTACGCAGCCCCACGACAACTGTTCACCAATCACAGCCACATCACTTTTCCTCATCAAACTCCATCTGCTGACTCCCAGCTTTTCAATCATTTCCTAACCTACTTGGCCCATTCACTTACACTACTTACTGCTGCTTCAACGACAAAACCGAGCCCCTTCGCTTTGGTCATGGACACATGACGTCAGACACCAGTCCCCGTGGACTACGTTGTTTGCCAATGACATTGTGATCCATGGTCACAGTAGGCAGCAGTGCTCCTCAAACTGTGGTACGCGGGGAACTTTTGCTTATTCGACTCCAGGGGTGTCCAACTCATTTTCACCAGGGGCCACATCAGCACTACAGATCTGCTTGAAGGGCCGGCTGCTAATGGAAGACTGTATAGATCGGGGTTCGTCAACCCTCGGCCCGCAGAACAGTACCAGTCCATAAGTCATTTGGTACCGGGCCGCAGTGGCACACAGACTAATTAATTGCTGTGTAATACAAAAGGTTAAGGAACTCCGCTGCATGGACTTCACTAAATGCTTTTTAAGCTCTCGCGGGCCACGTAAGACGGCTTGTTGGGCCGCATTTGGCCCCCGGGCCTTGACTTTGACACATATGTTCTACTCAATACATCTGAAACCCAGCTCACTGCTACTACTACGGCATCTCTCAGCTGGTACATAAAAACGTTCGACAACCACTGCGCTACACAAATGAAGGTCAGTCTTAGCAAGACATCATCCACACGGCACAACACTTAAATACTGATCTCACAAGGGGATCGGGATCTACCTGTACACCTCTCACGGACTTCTGCGACATCAACACCTCTTACACTTTAAACATTAACAATTTCCAATGATTTTCAACTTTACCCCGCTCATCACTAAGCCTAATCTACGGACCACACAACTACCCCGTCTGTCGGTACAACTTCTATTCCGTATCACGTATACCATTACATATTCACTTTATATCAGTCAACACATATTCACAGTTTTCCATACACGTACCTCACTTTACCCCAGTCGTTTGAACAGTTACACCCCTGCGATAGAACATCGTCAGCTACGGTGAACGCAAAACGTTTATAGACAAGATCTGGCCCTGTTACACATGCCAACATTCACTTCAGGACTGACAAGGATCACGAATGAAATCATCCGAATGCCTACACGCTCACAAAGGACGGAAAACCATAAGTCCCCGTGGAAACCCCTGAAAAAGGGACGAGGCCAAAGGAGACTTTCACATTATTGCATCGGCGAAACTGCACATTGTCATGTTATTTACTATCGCTGCCGTCTCCT